TGCTGCTAATAGGGACAATTCAGATGTTGTCCATATACAACCTGGTCCAAGCGACTTTCCTACTGACCCGGGATATGGTTCGCTCAAGCCTCCTAGGGAGTTCGACTCAGTAGCTATCTCTCACATGTGATATTGGAGATTGACAGCATATAGAGGCACAGAATGAGGTCACTGGTTACACAAGAAATTAACCTATACATTTCGATGAAGTCGTTTCTTGGTTGGATGGATGCAATTGAAACCTAATACTGGTAATGCAATTCGGGAGAGAACGGTGCACTAAACGACCGGTGAGCATTTACGGGGTTTTGTTAACATGTAGACCCATAGATGAACTCATCTTGGGCATTGGATCCCCGCACTCCCATACTAGCCAACTAGAGGGTAACACAAAGCCTGAGATGCTGTCCTGTGTGGGCAGCCTATGGTATCAATTTAATATGGACATTTTGAGACGGCAATGGCGGTTGAGGGTCTAGAATTGGAAAAGAACAATATCGAAAAAATTAGTCAGGAAGCAGGCCGATCAACGGCCGGGCAGATGTGCAACCCGAAATGCTCCGTTGGAGTAGGGAGCATATGATATCATAGAGCATACACGAGTTTGCATTGTTTACACTACTTCATGTTTGCCGCGTTTGCAGCTTTTGTAAGGCAACCGGAAAAACTTCGGCCCTTCGCAAAACAGCTATTCCTCCCCATTTGCGCTTCCCCAGCATATCGACCAACTATCGTCAAAATGCCACGAAAGCTAAGGGCGGCCGCCCAAGCGGCTGCAAAGTCGATAAGTGAGTTGATCCCAACCCCACATTAGCCCGCACCTGCCACAAGCACCCGTCCCTTCTTCTACACGTTGAATTTTACCTTCCCCTTAGACGCGTTTGCGACTAACCAGCTTTAGAAAATGTACCTTCAATTCCAGATGGGTCTGACGAGGAGATGGTCGATGTCCTTTCATCTCAGCCCTCCTCGCCCATAGACGAACAAGAAGACTCCCCCGAGAAAGATCCCGACGTCGAACTCGAGGATGAACCTGAAACTAAACCCGAACTTGAAGCCGAAAGCGCAGAAGTTCAGGCTCCCGAAACACCTGCCACACACAAGCCAGAGGAAGAATTGAGTGTTGCAACCCCCGCAGAAGACTCAATCCTTGCCGACACAGACAACACACCTTCCTATGGACCTGGCCGCCCATCACTTCCGCCCCGCGGCAAGCGTCGCATTGGTCGCCCGCCTAAGAACCCTCGACCTGAATGGGATCCGGCCGACGGCGAGCAGCCACTTCGAGTCACTACACCAGTCAAAAGACGGCGCGGTCGCCCTGCTGCCAGCGGTGGGCGCTGGGCACGCAACCGTGGCCCCTCCCATCTTACCCAGGTACCTGTCGACAAGGAAGGAAACATGATGGATGTAATCAACGACGAAGTGTCGATCCCCCCCGACCCAATTGGTGCTACTAAGGTCGACGAGAATGGCCACCTACAAGGGGGACGTGAGTATCGAGTTCGTACCTTCAAGATCCTTGGTCGCGGAGACCGCCTCTACATGTTGTCGACTGAACCGGCCCGCTGCATTGGCTTCCGTGACTCGTACTTGTTCTTCCAGAAGCACAAGATGCTGTACAAGATCATCATCGACGATGATGCCAAGCGTGATTTGATTGAACGCGATCTCATTCCCCACTCTTACAAGGGACGAGCCATCGGTGTTGTCACCGCGCGATCAGTGTTCCGCGAGTTTGGCGCAAAAATTATTGTCGGTGGCAAGAAGATCACCGACGACTATGACGAAACTGCTGCTCGTGAGCGCGGCGATGTGGAGGGTGAGTTGGTCGTTCCGGAAGACAGATTGCCTGGACCTGGAGAAACCTACAACAGAAATCAGTATGTCGCCTGGCACGGCGCGAGCAGTGTTTATCACACAAATGCGCCTGCGGTCCCGCTTGTTGGTGGAAAGCCAGTTGATACCAAGAAACGCCGTGTACCAGTCACTGATGATAACTGGATGCTGGAGCATGCCCGGGCTGCAAGGTGAGTCTATATTTGATAGCGAGCAACCCGTTGGGACCTGTCGACTAATGCATAGTATAGCAACTTTAACTCAAAGCTCGGCGAAATGCGCCGTGCGAATCTGGGTGGTGTATACGATGTCCACACCAATATTATGCAGCACCCGAAGATCATGCAGCCAACTCACGCCCGCTGGGAACGCGTTTCCCCTGCTCCGGCGACCGCTCCGACAGAGTTGACGACGAATATGAACTCATTGAACCTCTCCAACGGAGGCTCTCCTTCCGATCATGAAAATCATACCTCCCACGAAACCCAAGAATCGCACGAGGCTACCACTGGCGAAACATCCATCGAAAGCCCCGTCACTACCTTTTCCCCTGTTTCCGCTCATCTCCATGACCGCTACGTCATCCAGGACATCGTCTATGAATCTCCGCCCTATTCAAACATGGGTATCCCGGGCCCTGACGGCGATGTGCACGATATTGGTCCCAACGGCTTGGTCAGTGTCGCCAACCCCGAGCATCCCGAGTTCATGACTCCAGAGATTCTCCAGTTGCTTCCGCCAGAGTGCAAGGAAGCTCTCATTGATGCTGCGGCACAGGAGGTTGAATGGAAGTCCAAATGGACTACCGAGACTACGGATGGCGAGCGTACTCAACCAACTAAGAGCTACGCCTGGTACCCGTAAATCCTGTAACTGATTTATATTTTTTCTTCTTCAGATTCTTGCGCGTCGGCGAAATTTATGGGTTAGCATGGGGTGGGTGGCTGGACATGGCAGGCGAAAGCCGCTGGAGTTTTTTTTTTCTTTCTTTCTGCTTCTGAGTCTGCTTTCGCTTTCTCAACATATGCCTTGGATAGATCTTTGCCTATCACCATGATGTATTGACTGGTTTTTTTTCTTTCTTTTTCGGTCCTCGAATGCTGGTTCTACATGACTGGATTTGGCTTTGAGTGATGGACTTTTAGATAATAATGAACCAAATTTTTTCCACGACAACATTATGTATGTCTATCTCTTCTAGAGCTCCGTTATGAATAGCTTCTCACCAGCAGCCCTGAGAAATCATCTCGTCTATATGTCTCTTCTAGCCGTGGTATACTGATGACCTACAACTCAAGTTATGGATGCATATCCCAAGCTGAAACTTTGAAATTAATAACTTAGCTTACACAAATAAATAAAAGAAAGAAAAACCGAGGTCATCTAAAACTCCATTTAAAAACAAAGCGAAAATAAACATGCACCCAAGAGATCGAGGGAGTTGGCTTGAAAAAGGGTGTTGAGGAGTGGAACAGCCAGATAGAAAAAGTGACAGAAGACAAGACAACACAGATCGACGTGAGACCTTGGAGATACCTGGTAGCGTCGGATCGTATGGAGGGGATGGGAGAGAAACAACAAGGAGATAGAGGTAATAAAGGAGGGTAACCGATGCATCAGCACCGGGAACCAAAAGGAGACAAGGGCTTGCTTGATAAAACGGCCGGGTCATGCATGCGAGGGTAAGACAAGGAAAAAAGAAGAGAAAAAGGGTAAGACTTCAACGGAAATGAGGCTGCATTGGTCGCGTGGCGGAAAGTAAGAGGCTGTCACATGGCCATTTCCGCGCGCAACTTTGCCAGCTCGGCTTCCTCGTCGTCTTCCTCTTGTGCCTTGGCGGGGTGTTTGACTATAGGCAAGCCGGTTAGTGAATGATATATGTGATAAATGTGTGTAGGGCTCCTGTTCCCACTTACGATCTGTATTCCCCGCAGCTGGTAACCGGTCCAGTTGACTGCCCACCGGCACGGTCCCAGTGTGAAGCATCTTTGCGTCCATAGCTTCCTGCTCCAGGCCCTCCAATTCGGCATCGAGCTCTTCCTCGTCCGGCTGTTCGCCGATAGGGAAACTGGTGATGACGCTTCCAATCTCGGCGCTGAGCGCATGCTGGTCTTGGAGTTCCTCCCTGTGAGATATCAGTATGGCTGTAATATGATGTAACAAAGAGCCACGATATGGCAATATGTTAGATAAGGGATAAGAGATTCCACGTACATGGTCTTGTCGACATCCTCGAGCTTCATTCCACCATGAATCTGCTTCATAGCGGCACCAGCCTGCTTCATAGCAGCCAAAGTCTCGTGGTTGATATTTGCGGCTTCGATGGAGTATATCTGCTGCTCGAGTTGCATAATCTGGGCTGTTGTCTGCTCGAGATTCTTCTCGTGGACCTTTTTCCGTCGGAGGGCATTTTTGGCGGCTATTCAACACAACAGTAGAAGAACCGATAGTTAGTCACCATCCGTAACTCTCAAATAGATGTCCAGCAACAATCTGCAAGATCCGCAACCATACCATTCTTATCTGTGTTAACGTTCTTCCGCGCCATAGCCTCCTGTTCTGAGATCTGGGTCTCAAGATGCCTCTCGCGCTTCTGCAGCATATCCAGCTGCTCGCGCAGCTGTAGGATAGCGTTCTTGGGCGCATCCTTCCGCTTCTGAGCGGCGGCCCCGCCAAACCAAGACCACATGGTGATGTTGGTGTCTGTGTAACTGGAAAACGAAGCGAATAAATAAGCAGGATAAGCCTCGGTAGTCAGTTAATATGTCCAAAGGAGACCAGCCGCCGAAAATACGAAGTCACTAAGGAGAGAAGAGTAGGTTGGTTGTTTTCCTTGCTGCAAGTCAGGTGGAGCGATAGGCTCCAGGCAAAGTCAGTGAGCTGACAGGCAAAGTAAGAAAAAGGCGGAAAATAAGCTCCGAATGACCAATATGTTTGGAGCACACGACTCGCAGAGTGCGCTTCCAAGGATAATTTCTGGATGAATGCAAAGTGGAGGGGAGGCCGACTTTCCCCTCGCTGAGCCTATGACATACACGGTAAGGCCAGTCACGTGCGCCAACAAGACTGTTCTATTTGCGACCTTGTGAGCTGCCTCTTGTTCTTTTCTTTCAATCTTCACACTTTTACAATGTTGAGCATCTTCTTCAACTAGCGCAGAGATGAATGGGCCGCGCCCCTCGACTCGCGTGTTCCTCTCTGATCTCTCATCTCTACAGGCGGACTCGAAGATCCGCTTCCTTGGCTGGTGCGTCAGGCCCAGAGAGAGAACAGAATAGTAAAAAGTCAAGGCTTTCCAATACTAACGATGATATACGTCCTTGTATACTCATAGTGTGACACATTATACCATCACTACCGGCCATTTGATACTGGAGCATAACTACCCACGCAGCAAGATAGCTCCGCCTTCTGTTTCTGTCGACATTAATGCCCTCCTTGAGGACCTGACCGCTGAAGAACTTCGCGTTGGAACATGGCTGAATGTCGTGGGCTATGTCAGAGAATCGGAGCCGGTGCTGCCACCATCTTCATTCTCTTCGACTCCCGATGACGCGAATCGGCCGAGTCAGAGGCCTTCTACGGTCACCCCTCGTCCAGTGTATATTGAGGCGATCATGGTCTTTCTGGCGGGAGCTATTGCCATTGGGGAGTATGAGCGAATCCTTTGCAATTCTCAGCATGTCGAGCGGATGATACAGTTCACTCACTGAAAAAAAAAGAAATCTATATTAGCTCAAAGGATTACATGGAACTCATAACCAATCGGACATTAATGGAGCGTCTCTGCATTAGATACTTTGCTAAATAATTACTTTTCGAGCACCTCAGATATAAGGTGAAGGGTATCAAGACGTAAATCAGAACATCAGGCAAAAAATCCCTCAAAAGCAACCCTAAACCACCTCTGCCACCTTCTCCTCATCCGACCGATTCGCCTGCTGAAGCTGAATCTGCCTTCTAGCCCGCTTCCCCTCAAGCTTCGTCTTCTCCTCCTGCATGCGCACAATGAGGGGACTCTTCATGCGAATCTTGTGGCCATACTTATAAAACACAAACGGAATCGGGACAATAATAACCTCCAACACTCCCAGCAGAGTGCCCGCCCAATTCGGTCCCAGGCTGGCATACATAGACGCGCCAGCAAGAGGCAAAACACCACCGAGGATACTCCGAATAACCGAGTTGCCCGCCAAAGCAGAAGCAGCATACATGCCGTAACTGTGAGTCAGATAGTTGGACGCATAGATGAAGACACCGGTGTTCCCCGCGCCGAACGGGATACCCGCAAGCACGGGCGCGATCCAATGGATCGAGGCTGGGGAGCAGGTCCATGCAAACCAGAGCTCACCGACTGGGATCATCGCTGCGCAGATGCAGACAAACGACACCATTGCTTCTGGGTAAACTTTTCCGGTCTCGGGGTCTTTGGCGTGACTGTTGATCAATCGTCGGATTAAAGGTTCACAGGCGATTGTGAGGACAACGCCGATACCGATTCCTAGGAAGGCAAGCCCGGACATACCCAGTTGCCATCCGCGGATGTCGCGGAAGACAATTGGGTAGGCTACGAAACAGAGATACAGGATACCGTAGATGATTGCGATGTAGATGTTCCAGAAGATGCTGAAGGGGATTAGTTTCATGTTTTGTGGGTTATTGTGGAAGATATAGGGGTAAGACACTTGCCAGATTGGTTCGGTAACTGCCATTACAAACGGCCGGCTGAGGTTCAGCTTGAGGATCTCGGGAAGGCTCGCTTTTTGGTCGTAGCGACTCCACCAGCGGGAATCGCCGGTCTCCTTGCGGAGTCTGGCGGCTTTCTTTTGGAGAAGGGTCGGTGCGTAGGTTTCCTTGAGCAGGATAGCAAAGACCAAGGCAACAGCAGAGAGAATGAGCGCAATCCAGCACATCCAGCGCCAGCCAAGATATTGAGTGACGAAGCCTCCAATAACCGGACCGATGACTGTATCCTGTTAGAAATGGACTCGTTGTATTGGTAAAGAGAATGAGTGAAGAACAAACCTGGTCCATTGAGTGGCCCAATACTCCAAACAGAGATCGCCAGAGCACGATGCTCATCATCCACCAAATCAGCCACCATACCGGGAGCGGTAGAGATCATGACACTGCCGAAGAAAGCAGCGATAAAGCGAACGACAATCAATGCGGTGACAGACTTTGCGAGCGCGCAGGGGATGATCAGGATTGTAAACACGGCTAGACAAAGTACACAGACAGGTTTCCGTCCGTAGACCTCGCTCAAAGGGGCCATGAACATGGACCCAATGGCAAGACCAAACAGATAGAAGGTCAAGCCAAGGGTGACGATAGTATTGGATTGGCCGAATTCCTCGGCCATAAATGCAATGCCTGATGTATAAGAAGTCGAATATAACACGCTTTCGAGTTTATTAGCTAGAGAACCTCGTGCTTTCAAACTTTCAAGATAGAAACTTACACGATGAGAGTGTTCCATGATAGAAACAAGATGCCCATGGACTTATACTTGAAATTCCAGTTCTTGGGGTTGTCAGGGTCATCGTCGCCATCCCAGTCAACCTCATAGTCAGGGTCGGCGGTGGCATTGGTTGCGATTGTCGTTACACGCTCCGACAGTGACATGTGCGATGCACGAGCTGTCAGTGTCTTTCCTATCGCATCGCGTTCGGTCTGCGAGTTTACCGTGGAAATCGACTCGATAGAGTCTGTCTTTTGGGACATGCTTGCGGTGTTTTTTGAGCATTTATCTTGGCCCTCCAAATTGGAGCGTTGAGCTGCCATGCCCGGAAGCTTGGATGAATGGGGTTTAATGCAGTAAAACAGTGCTCAGGGAGCTTATTTGAGTGTATACCGAAGATTGAATGAACAAGTTACTCCAATATTTGGGGTTGTAGTGAAGAAAATAGGGGAAATGGGAGTAAAAGGTCCCTTTGTTAGATTCAAACCCCGAAGTAAGGCCGTAGTAGAGTTGTGTCGTTCTCTATTTCTATAGAGATATGGTGGAATTGCAAATGTAGACCGAAATCCCGAAGCCGAGGTTGCTTTAAGTATCAACCGCAAGCTCTCCAAACTGACACAGATTATAACGGAAGATAGAAATCCCAGACATTTATCATCAAAATCACTTCAGACTCGGAATTTTTCAAATGTGGGGCCGAGAGTCGGTGATAAGCATATTCGACGAGGACGAGCTGGGGTGGCAGGGCTTGCAGGACTTGTCGCCGTGCCAAGAAGATCACCTATAGCTCTGAACAAGGATGGTTTTATTTCCCACTCTGTGGAGATTCTATTGTATAAATAAGGCAATAGAGTATCAGGGTATCGGATTCTCCTAATACCTACAGTTGCTCTTTATTCTACAAACCCTTGGCATAGGATTTCCCCATGGGCAAAGAGCTCCGTCATGGCGTGATATCCCCATAAGAGAAAACGTGTGTGTTCCGACCCAATTTGTCTCCACACGGCCTAGTAGTAGGCCCGAAGGATGCATATGTGGGCTCTAGCCTGAGCTGTAGTGTGCCGGTTTGCCGAATACTGCCCGTGTGAAATATTATGTTCTATATAGAGTTGTACTTGTATTTCTCATATTGGCATGGGTTTACATACAATTATATGTAATAGTTTAACCCTAGAATATGAAGTACGGAGTACTTACTACGGAGTATGTTGTATGTTGTATGTTCGTACGGAGTAGATATCGGACATCCAGTTTAAAGTGGGTTCTCCGAAAGGCTCTGGAACCGGAAAAATAGCCGGTTGGAAATAAGAAATTTCAATTTCAATTCCAACGACGGAGTATGTACGGAGTACGGAGTACTTCTATGTAATATATGTACTGCGGAAGGTTTCCGATTCCGAGTTGTACAGTACATGTGCATAGTACATGTGCATAGTTTCATATGTGATCTATAAAACAAGATTAGTCGGCCGCGTTTGCGGCCTTGTGATGTCTTTTTATTATAACACCCTCCCCCCACTCCTTCTCAGTTTCATAGATAGACGGCGGAAAAATGCGAGAAAGGCTATAACCAGGGATAAGGGACTGGAGAAATCCCCGAGGAAAGCCTATCATTCGTTTAATATCAATCCATGGATACTAAGATAGGCACTCTTCGCTTATATAGCCGAGACTTAGCCGACGCTACTTCTAATCTCAGAGCTTTAGTAAAATCTTTTGTCTTACAAGATTAGTGACAAACGGAGACCCTGGATATGATAGTTCCACCACTTTGCTCCAAATGAGGCGCTCGCACTGGCTACAAAAATGGTCTAGGGCCGCTTGTTTCTTATTTTAAACGTAGCCGAAGTGAACTAAGATCTAAGCGACCCGAAACCTTGGAATGGACCTGATCCAGATCGTGATGTTTCAATATCCTATCCGAAACAGATTGATTTCAATCTAGACCTTCAAACAGCCGTATAGCAAATGCCAAACTTTTTGTACTCCCTTGTGACCTTTCTTTAAAACCCTCTGTGGGACTGCAACCGTGGACAAAGTATTCTGTAACTGTCCAACTACCATGACGTCGCTTATAACAACCGGCCTGGCTGGACTGGGTGCTCTCTATATGTGGCATGTTAACTCTGCTATGAAAGTAGTCCCCGAAGAGGCACAGAAACTATCACCTCATCGCTGGACTGTCGAAGAAATCAAAGCAGCCTATAAGAAGAGCCTGGAAACCCCCATCGATGTGACCAAGAGCTTGCCACCAAAACAATCCAGACGATATGTGATCGTAGGCGGAACTGGTACGTATAGATACCAGCCACTCCTCATACCCACCCGCTGACAGGCCAAACTATAGGTCTAATTGGCGCTTGGATAGTCTCGCATCTTCTCACACGGGGTGAAGATCCCAAGGCCATTCGCATTCTAGACCTGATGTCCCCAGAGCAGGATATCCTTAACAAAGGCGTGCGCTGGACCAAAACCAACATCACCGACAAGCTCGCAGTAACAACAGCATTCGAAGAGCCATGGCCAGCCAATGTCACCAGCCTTGCCCTAACAGTCTACCACACCGCAGCCATAATCCGACCCCAGGACCGGCTCAAAAGTTTTCTGCCACTCAGCAGCAAAGTCAACATCGACGGCACACGGAACGTCCTGAACGCCGCAAGAGCCGCCGGCGCCACAGCCTTCATCTGGACATCCTCAGGCTCTATCGCCCTGCACCAGCCAACCTTCTGGATCGCGCCGTGGGCGACCCAGCCCAAGCGCGTAGTCCAAGTAATCAGCGACAGCACCAAACTGCCTGAATCCCACTACGAATTCTTCGGCAACTACGCCGTAACCAAATCCGAAGCAGAGCTTCTCGTCCGCGCAGCAGATAACCCAGCAGAAAACTTCCGCACCGGCTGCATCCGCCCTACAAACGGCGTCTATGGCACAGGTGGCCAAGCGAACAACGTTATCACGGGCCTTTACCTCCGCAACGGAGGCAGTCCGACCTGGGCTCGTCCGATGCTGCAAAGTTTCGTGCATGCTGAAAACGTCTCGATCGCACACCTCTTGTACGAACAACGTTTGATCCAGCAGAGCGAGCCTGGTTCGCAGCTCCCGAATACAGGGGGCCAGGCGTTCACCGTCAGCGACCCCAACCCGGCAATTGCGTTTGATGATTTGTACACGTTACTCACGACGTTGTCCAGCACGCCGCTTTCGTTTCCAGAGGTGCAGCCCTTGCCCTTGTTGGTGGTTGCGTATTTTGTTGAGATGTACACCTTCTTGCAGTACAGATATCTCTCTTGGTTTCTGCCGAGGTTGTCGGGGGATATTGGGCAGCTTCAGCCCTCGCTATTCTCTATTATCAATGTTCATGTGTTTGCTGATGATTCGCGCGCGAAGCTGGCGCCTGAGATGGGTGGATTGGGATATAACCCGCCCCTGAACACTCTTGAGGGTCTGTGTCGGCGGCTTGTGGACTGGAACACTAAGGCTGAGGGGGAGGGGGTTGAGGTCAGGGGGAAGAAGATACGGTTGGGCCCTGTAAAGGTTGCGGAAGATGGTGTTGATGTGGCTATGCCGAGGGTATTGTGAGGATTCAAGTTTGACCGATCTACTTGAGATCTGAGTAGAAGAGCATACACTAGGTTAGTTTTTTTATGAGCATGATTTGGCGTGCAAGTCAATCTGTACTTGGTCTTAGGGGTTTGGTTCTAAATTGATACACGGTGCGGCATGAAATGGAATCATATTTGAAGAGAAGGGCTCTGGTAGGATATATCACTCATTGAATATTCTGCAACTTCCAAGGTTGGAATAGCCGGAGCCGACCAGCAGTACCCGGCCATAGCAAGGTCTCATTCCTTCTCAATCTTCATTTGGACGCAAAGGCTTTCTTAAAGCTGGTGTGGCTATTGATAAAACCCCCATAGATAGTCGCAACTTGAGATTGATGGTTGCACTGACCTCGGGACACTCTGCGGAAACAAACCAAGAGCCCAGTGTTGATAAGCCGTGTGGGCGAGCTTAAGCCCTCGGGGCAAAAGCAAGAGGGATCCACATAGGCCACTTCCCAAAGTGCCTATGGACGAAGGAACAAATCCGTGGTAACTCTCAAGTCGCACACATGGCACTGCACCATGCAAGCGTTTCACCAAGCAGACTGTGCAACCAAGAACATGAAATCCCTCAGCAGCAGGAGGTCGCTAGAATGACAAGCTTTCATTTCTCAGAAAGATAGTAAACAAACAAGACGAAATTTATCCCTTAACGACTCTGTTGCTGAGCCACTTGACGCATATAGCCAAGACGCTGTATGCGCAGACGCTCGGATGCCACTTCAACATCAAGAATCGCTCCAAGACGATTCTTCCACGTCTCCTCCAGACTGACTAGCTCACCCTGGCTCACCTCCTGCGCAATTTTTCTCTGCTTGTTCACTTGCTCAGAAGCCTCCTTCGTCTCTGCCAACTCCTTCTCGAGAGAACCGAGTATCTGCTCAAGCTGTGAATTGCCAATCAGCCAAGCGTTCTTGCCATGTTCTTCTAGCAGAGACAGGTTCTCGTGGCGCTTAGATAGATGCGAGCTTGAAGCATATGCCTTCTGCAAAGTCTGGCGCCACGCGTCTAGATCGGGCGTGTCGGTGTCTGATGCGCGAGTCGGGGCCTCTGGTGCTTCGTAACGGGATAGGTCGATTCCGCCTGTGAGAGGCGCTCCTTGCGCTTTGCGCGAGAGTTCTTGTTGAATGAATTGAGAGAATTTGGGTTCTGGCGCTTCCGGGATCCAGGGGTGCATTGTGGATGTGTGCTCCGGGGATAGCTCTGCGTTGATGAGCTGCTGCGCTCGTGCTTGCGCGGACGCAGTGGGCGCCGCGTCGATATCTTCGAAGGTTAGTAATTAGGGTTTCAAAGTATGTGCCATGTCTACTCTGGGTACATACATGGCAGCGAGTCATGGGATTCGTTGATTAACGGCATTTTGGAGAAATGTTCTTGTATGGATGTCAGGACTCAAGACCTGTAGATTAATCTGAGAACCATTGCTACACGAAGGCGGTGAGAAAGGCGGCGAGGTGAGAACGACTGACTCAGCTAATCTCAGCCACGTGACCTCTGCTTTTATATAAACAAACGGAAGGTGAACCGTGTACCTAATTTGTGGGTTAATTAATATATCCAATATGGGTGCGTTCATGACTACATTTGAGTCATGAGATATGCTATATATATTGCTACAGCAAAAACCAGGGGTTGGGAATCCGGGGAAATGCTTGGGCGAATGACATTACCCTCTATGCAATGACGATCCTATCCAGTTTAGATTGTTTTTACGCGAGGTTCCTGAGTCGTAACTCAGCTCATCGAGTGGCTAAAAGTCGAGGTAATCCAGTCTTCACATGTACCGCGGGCACATGAGCACATCTCATTCCCCCGTGCCGGGGGGAAGGCAGCGAAAGTCTATTCCCTTTTGGTCTGCGGGATTCAATGGATGACGATCCCAACCCCCTTGTACATCGCTTAGATGAATGTCACCTACCAAGTGCTGTATGTACACCAATTTTCGGTGTCTTTCCCAAGCTTGGGGGTACTTGAGCAATGATCTTCAGGTAGCTCGTTCGTCTTCCCACCGTATCGCCCACCAAGTGTACTTATATAAGAACCCGTATCTCCCTGGGGGATTTCCACTATTCAAGGGCTACAGTTACTCAACGCATCTTTTCAGCGGATGTCATAACTCTATATTACTTGGGATATATTGGTAAATACTTCCAATAATGGCCAACTTTCGCATGGGCGTTACCTTTGCTGGGGTGACTCTTGCGGTGCTAGTGTTTTTCCAGCTGATTGCAGTATTCAAGCTTGATAGCCACTCACAGTCGTCTTTGCCTAGCTTTAGTTCAAACTTCAATCTGTGGAAAAGCAGAGCGAACGCGGTGGCAGCTGATGATATCTTTTTGGTTGGAGCGGGTAAGGCAGACGTAACTGGGTATGCTTATGCTTCAATTTCGACATGTCAGTGTACTAAATTGGCTAACATGATTACTAGGCCTGTTGTGGAGCTTGCTCTCGCTGGCTATGCTAGTTTGGACCAACTAGGTACGGGTCTAAAGCAGAGACTGTATTCTAGGGCCTTCATCTTCGCAGACCCAAACAAGCCCGATGACACTTTTGTGTACCTGGTTCTCGATACACTTGCTGGTGACACGGCCGTGCGACATGGTGTCCTGGAGGGTCTCACTGCGCTCGGCGGGAACTATGCACGGTACGGCGAACGCAACGTCGCAATGACGGGGACACATTCGCACTCCGGGCCTGGAGCGTGGATGAACTACTTGCTGCCTCAGATCCCGGCATTGGGCTTCAACAAGCAAAGCTATCAAGCCATTGTCGACGGCACTGTTTTATCAATTATCCGCGCCCATGAGAACTTGGCACCGGGTCGGCTCTCTTTTGGATCCATCGACTTGCAAGACACCAATACAAATCGCAGTCCCTTTTCATACGAGCGTAATCCCGAGCAAGAACGGGCGCGGTATTCTGCCAATGTTGATAAATCGCTGTCGCTCATACGATTTGATCGCGAATCCGACAACAGAACAGCGGCTGTCCTAACATGGTTCCCGGTTCATGGCACATCTATGTACAACAATAACACTCTGGTCAGTGGCGATAACAAAGGTGTCGCAGCTTACCTCTTCGAACGCAGCATTGATGGCGATGCGAGGTTTACCGAAGATGCCGTAATTGGATTCTCTCAAGCCAATGTTGGAGACACATCCCCTAATATCCTGGGGGCTTGGTGCGAAGACTGCTCCGGAGAGATGTGTCGATATGAAGATAGCACCTGCGGTGGCAGAAACGAAGATTGTCATGGTCGAGGTCCATTCTTCCGTGAGAAGGACAATGGAGCGAAGAGCTGCTTCGAGATTGGGCGCCGCCAGTACTCAGCAGCAAAGAAGCTATACGAAGAGATGCACACCACCCCTATACAAATCACTGGAGGTTCCGTGGTGAAGTCTTTCCATGTATATCAAGACATGAATGGCTACACTTTCCCCTCGCCATTCAACTCTAGTACGTTGACGACTTGTCCTGCGGCTCTGGGGTACTCCTTTGCTGCCGGAACTACAGATGGACCCGGTGCCTTTGACTTTACTCAAAATGCTACTAGTCCATCCGAACGCAACCCCCTGTGGCAGATTGCGCGTGCACTTATCCACCAGCCCAGTGAAACGCAGCAGCAGTGCCAAAGCCCCAAGGACGTGCTATTGGATATCGGCACCCTCGCTGAACCTTATCCATGGGCCGCGGATATTGTTGATATCCAGGTCTTGCGAGTGGGTCAGCTGTTCCTCGTTATCTCCACTAGCGAAGCTACCACGATGTCTGGGCGACGTTGGAAGGAGGCTATTGCGAAAGGAGCAAATGAGCACCTTTCTGTTTCCGACCCTTTAGTGGTACTAGGAGCCCCATCCAACAGCTATGCTCACTACGTGGCAACAGAGGAAGAGTACGGTGCTCAGCGCTACGAGGGCGCGTCCACACTCTACGGCCCTAACACACTGGCCGCCTATGTCAATCTGACCCTCACTTACTTGCCATATTTGGGAAGCTCCTCGGAAGTTGCCAAACTTCCAGTCATTCAACCTGGCCCCACGCCACCGATCAATACCAACCGTTCATTGAGCTTCATTACGGGGGTTGTCTATGACGAAGCGCCTATTGGCAGGCACTTTGGAAATGCGACTTCAAACCCAGGCAGTGGACCCTATGGCCCTGGAGATATTGTCAAGACGACCTTTGTGGGTGCCAATCCCCGCAACAATCTGCACCTCGAATCAACTTACGCTGCGGTTGAAAGAAAAAGTGATTCTGGCGCATGGGAGGTCGTGCGCAATGACCGCGACTGGAATTTGGTCTTTACGTGGAAGCGGACCAATGAGATCCTTGGATACAGTGAAGTGACAATTCAATGGGAGATTGAGAATGAGTATTATAGTGTCGATACTACGTCCCCCCTGCAGGCTGGGACCTATCGCATGCATTATTATGGAGACTCAAAGAATCCCCTTGGCCAAATCTCGCCATTCGAGGGAATGAGTGGAATGTTTACAGTGAAGACTTCATAGTCTGACTCATTTATAATATAGTAGTGTCTGAAGTGGTGGCAGGTTGAATGAATGGTGTCAAATGGTCCAATTTCCAAAGTGTACGACCCCATAGAGTAATCAGGCCGTGGTAATTATATCCTCACTTACGCGCCCGTACATGTAGCAAATGAATTATCTAGATACTCTTAATTTACAAATCTACTCAGTTCGTATGTCAACATGAAATCCTCAGCATAATAATAAAGTGGTCCTGCCTGCAGCCGGCCAATCACCACGCGCCATCGACCAGAGCTGGGCGCCTACTGCAACGTCTCTTTGTCGCGCGATCTATTTCTAGCTTAGATTTCGTCCCACAAAGAACCCCTTGCAATGGCGCTTCCCTCTGGACCCTCTTGGACTAATAGCAGTGTATTATTTTTGGCTTCTTCATGGAAAAGCCAAGGTTTGAACAATGGGTGGCTGACAGGAAGCCCTAAGCCCAACT